CTTCTCAAGAGAGAATAAAATCAGTTCCTCTAATCTTTCCTCATAGCTGAGCTCCTCCATACCTCTTATTAGTTTTGCTGCCCTTCTCTGTACTTTCTCCAGTTCCCCAATGTTCTTTTTGTGAATTGGTGCTCAAAACTGAACTGCATATTCCAGATGAGGTCTTACTAATGATTTGTACCGGGGTAATATGATATCTCTCTCTCTGGAGTCTATACTTCTATTAATACAAGAGAGGATTTTGCTTGCTTTAGAACTTGCAGCTTGGCAGTGCATGCCATTGTTAAGCTTGTGATCTACCAGAACTCCCAGATCCTTCTCCATGTGTACTATAAAGAATATATTCAAACAGAGCAAGTGGATTTATCGTGTAACCAGTGCAATCTCACCAATAGGACCAAAGATCTACATCCCTTGAGGGGGGCTGAGGAGGACTCTGATAGACAGGGATGGGTTGGGGGCCAACACTTGTTGTCTACTAATATTTAATGTATTTTAAATTTAAATTTGACATTTTAATTTAAAGATATTGATACAAAGTATTTAATTTTCAGTACCATCTACCCAAAGTGAACAATGCTGGTAAGCTTTTTATAGTTCTTATTTAAAGAATAATTTTTGCTTTCCTTCCTTCTCTATCAGCTGTTATTTTCATTTTGTTTGTTTTTTTCAAGTTAATTAGTCTTTTTAATTATTTTCTAAATTAATAATTGTAATAATAAACTGCTCCATTGACCCTAATTAGCCTGATTAAAGAATCTATAGATTTTTTTGTGCTTATTTAAACAGTTAAAAATATTACATCTTTAATCTATATATTGTTTATCCACAAAAAAATCTGTATCCTCATACCCCAAACTCATAGTTGATCAAGAGTAAGGGAGACAAAGGAGCACTGGGAGCGAAGAAAGCCGGCCGGCGTGCTGAGAAGAGAGGAAGGCGGCTTTCTGCTCCCGGCTTTCTGCTCCCTAGTCTGCTCCCTGGCTGGCAGTGTATAGTGGTAAGGACGAGGACACTGGCTTTTTTTTTTGAAAGACCCCTATGGAAGCAGAAGAAGTAGCCCTGTGGAGTCCCCCCAGGGAAAGAACTGTACAGAGGAGCTGGACACCTGAAGCCCCCACCTGCCTTGCAGCTAGGGACGAGAGACGTGGGTGAGTGAGACTGACTGGAACTTTTACACCCTAAATGTCCCAATGTGCTGTTAAGGAGAGCAGGGGGTGAGGGGGAGAGGAGGGGGAGTCCCAGGGGCTTTGAAATAGAAGAAGAGGTGGAAAAGGAAGAGAAGAAGATTAAGCAACTTAAAAGAGGAATAAAATTGGTCACTATTTGGGCTAAACTGGGACTGTTATATTTGTGTGAATCATCTGTCTCTACAAGAGAGCATAGAGGAGAATAAGGCCCATAGAAGCAATGGAGAACAAAAGTAGTAAAGGAAGTGGGCCTAAAGGGTCCCAAACGGGAACGATTAAACAATATACATCCCAGGGAAAAGTTACTCCAGAAAGATCCCAAGGCATAAACGGAAGGGGTGAAGGGTATATCAGTCTGGAAAGCAGCCCTAGACTATCCGTGGGTCTAAATGTTAGTAGTCAACAAACAATAGGAACCATGAAGATGAGAGAGAGAGAAAGTGAACTACAAGTACAGAATAAAAAAGAAATGGCAGAGATGTTTAAAGAACTAGAGAAGACAATAAAAGAAAGAAATTGCAACTATCCGAAATGATTTGGGGGGTGTTGGTGAGAATGGAAGAAACGGAGGAGAAAGTTAAAAATCAGGCCCCAAGCATTTCGGAATTAGAAAAGAAAATAAAGAATATGGGGGAAAATTCAGAAACAATTGATATACAAGATAGAGATACAAGAAAATTGGGACAGGAGGAGTAACCTTAGGATAAGAGGAGTCCCAGAGAATGCTAAAGGGGAAACACTGCAAGAATTAGTAGGAAAAATCTTAAACTCCACAATGGACAGACCTGCCCTAGAGTTGATCGATCTGGAAAAAATTGTGAGAATAGGAAAGAGTCAACAAGGCATAGGGAAGGAAAAACCAGGGGACATAATTGTTAAATTTAACAAACATGGGGATAAAGAAGCTATTTGGAGGAAGATAAAAGGAAAAGCATCAATTAGATATGGAGAAATTGATATTCAGATATTTGCAGATCTTACACCGGAGACTTTGTGGAGAAGGAAATCCCTGAAACCCCTTTTAGAGCAGATGAGGAAAAAGAACGTGTTTTATAGATGGGGGACCCCAGCGTGCCTAATTGGATGGAAAGATGGAGTTACAGCTGATTTGAGATTTCCGGAGGACTTGAGAGATTCCTGAGTTGCAAAGAATGGAGATTGCTGGACGGGAGGAAGAGGAGAGAGAAATAGGAGTGATAAGACAAGAGGACTGGCAGTCTGTTAGAGGGAGAAAATAGGGTGGGGGGAGGGAGAGAGGGGAGAGGGTGTGTGTTTTTTTTTTTCTCTCTCCTTCCTCCTTCCTTTCTCTCTCTCTTCTTTGCCCATTTTCCTTCCTTATAGTATGTTATCTAGAGTTCTGTTTCAAGGGGCATGTGAAATTTTAAAGAGTTAATTAAAAGTTAGAGGGTACTAGGGAGGTGGGAGGGAGGAGGAGCTGTCCATGGGCAGAGTTTGACCCCAAGTATTAAATCAAAGGTGGGGATGTCAGGGCTCCCAGGTATGACCAGAAGTGTGTGACTGAAGCAGGGAACGCAGACCTCAGCTATGTTATAAACAATATAATTTATTAACACTAACAATACAAACATAAACGCAGTGCAATACTAAAACATAATACGGTGCAAACAAACCAAACCAAACCACCCACAGATAACAGTATATTCAAGCAAGCGTCGTCAGGCAGGCCGGGTCAATATCAATTGGGCAGGTAGGTACAGGGGGAGCAAGCGGAGAATGGTCGGGGTCACAGGCCAGGTTCAGCAGGTAGCAAGCAGCATAGTACAGAGGGTCAGGCAGAGGGATGGTCCGGGTCACAAGCCAGGGATCAGAACAGGTAGCAAGCAGCGTAGTACAGAGGGTCAGACAGAGGGATGGTCAGAGTCACAAGCCAGGATCAGAGCAGGAGAAGTCAGCAAAGGAACAGAAACAGGATGCAGGACAGATACAGGGCCCAGGACAAACACAACACCAAGGCAGAGTCTGCAAGTCTGGCCATCCCTTATATACACCAGTATCATCAGTTCCAGGTGTTAGCTGGCTGAGAGGTTGAGTCTCTGATTGCTGGGAGCACCCGCTGGCCAGCCCTGGTACTGCAGATCAAAAGGCAGGTGAGTCCCACCATTGCTGGCCAGTCCATTCCTAACAGTACCCCCCCCTCAAGGAGCGGCCTCAGGACGCTCCAAACAGTCCTAGCTGGGCAAAATGTTCCACCGCCCGGGTCTGGCAACTGGCGGGATATCAAAGACTGGCACACCGGGCAGGACTCCGGGCAGCGGCACACCGGGCTGGACTCCGGGCAGAGGCACATCGAGCAGAGGCACACATCGGGCAGGACTCCGGGCAGAGGCACATCGGGCAGAGGCACATCGGGCAGGACTCCGGGCAGAGGCACATCGGGCAGGACTCCAGGCAGAGGCACATCGGGCAGGACTCCAGGCAGAGGCACATCGGGCAGGACTCCGGGCAGAGGCACATCGGGCAGGACTCCGGGCAGGGGCACATCGGGCAGGATTCCGGGCAGAGGCACATCGGGCAGGATTCCGGGCAGAGGCACATCGGGCAGGACTCCGGGCAGAGGCACATCGGATTACCAGGCGAAGCAGCAGGCAGCGGGCCACCGGGCGGAGCAGCAGGCACCGGGCCCCCGGGCGGATCAGCAGGCAACCGGGCCCCCGGGCGGGGCAGCAGGCACCGGGCCCCCGGGCGGGGCGACAGGCACCGGGCCCCCGGGCGGAGCAGCAGGCACCGGGCCCCCAGGCGGGGCGACAGGCACCGTGCCCCCAGGCGGGGCGACAGGCATCGGGCCCCCAGGAGGGGCGACAGGCATCGGGCCCCCAGGCGGGGCGACAGGCATCGGGCCCCCAGGCGGGGGCGACAGGCATCGTGCCCCCAGGCGGGGCGACAGGTATCGTGCCCCCAGGCGGGGCGACAGGCATCGTGCCCCCGGGCGGATCAGCAGGCACCCGGGCCCCCGGGCGGGGCAGCAGGCACCGGGCCCCCGGGCGGGGCAGCAGGCACCGGGCCCCCGGGCGGGGCGGCAGGCACCGGGCCCCCGGGCGGGGGGCGGCAGGCACCGGGCCCCCCCGGGGCGGGGCGGCAGGCCCCGGGCCCCCGGGCGGAGCAGCAGCAGGCACCGGGCCCCCGGGCGGGGGCGACAGGCACCGTGCCCCCAGGCGGGGGCGACAGGCATCGGGCCCTCAGGCGGAGCGGCGGGCGCCGGACCTCCAGATGGAGCGACAGGTCTCGGGGCCCTCAGGCGGAGCGGCGGGCGCCGGACCCCCAGGTGGAGCGACAGGTCTCGGGCCCTCAGGCGGAGCGGCGGGCGCCGGACCCCCAGGAGGAGCGACAGGTCTCGGGCCCTCAGGCGGAGCGGCGGGCGCCGGACCCCCAGATGGAGCGACAGGTCTCGGGCCCTCAGGCGGAGCGGCGGGCGCCGGACCCCCAGGTGGAGCGACAGGTCTCGGGCCCTCAGGCGGAGCGGCGGGCGCCGGACCCCCAGGTGGAGCGACAGGTCTCGGGCCCTCAGGCGGAGCGGCGGGCGCCGGATCCCCAGGCGGAGTAACAGGTCTCGGGCCCCCAGGCGGAGCGGCGGGCACCGAGACACCAGGCACGACAGTGGGCTCCGAGTCAACTGGTATGACCGCAGGCACTGGGTCAGACATTGGATGCTCTGGCTGGACAGCGGGCATCGGGTCACCAGGCATCAGGTCATTTGGCTCGACAGCGGGCACCGCGTCATCTGGCAAGGCAGTGGGCTCCGAGTCAACTGGTATGACCGCGGGCACTGGGTCAGACATTGGATCGTCTGACCGGACAGCGGGCATCGGGTCACCAGGCATCAAGTCATTTGGCTCGACAGCGAGCACCGCGTCATCTGGCAAGGCAGTGGGCTCCGAGTCAACTGGCATGACCGCGGGCACCGGGGCAGACATTGAATCGTCTGGCTGGACAGCGGGCATCGGGTCACCAGGCATCAGGTCATTTGGCTTGACCGCGGGCACCGCGTCATCTGGCAAGGCAGTGGGCTCTGAGTCAACTGGTATGATGACCGCGGGCACTGGGTCAGACATTGGATCGTCTGACTGGACAGCGGGCATCGGGTCACCAGGCATCAAGTCATTTGGCTCGACAGCGAGCACCGCGTCATCTGGCAAGGCAGTGGTCTCCGAGTCAACAGGCACGACAGTGGGCACCGGGTCATCAGGTACCGGATTGTCTGGCTCGACAGCGGGCATCGGGTCATCAGGTATGACAGCGGACACTAGGTCACCAGGCATCAGGTCATTTGGCTTGCCAGCGGGCACCGCGTCATCTGGCAAGGCAGTGGGCACCGAGTCACCAGGTACGACAGCGGGCTCTGAGTCAATTGGCACGACAGCGGGCACCGGATCAGGTACCGGATCATCTGGATCAACAGCGGGCATCGAGTCAACTGGCCTAATAGGATCGTCAGGCTGGATCAGTTCATCATGCTGGGTAGAGGCATTAGGCCGAGTAGAGGCTTCAGGCCGAGTAGAGGCATCAGGCCGAGTAGAGGCATCAGGCTGAAGAGAGGCATCAGGCCGAGTACAAGGCATCAGGCCGAGTAGAGGCTTCAGGCCGAGGAGAGGCTTCAGGCTGAGGAGAGGCTTCAGGCCACGTAGAGGCTTCAGGCCGAGTACAGGCATCAGGCCAAGTACAGGCATCAGGCCGAGTAGAGGCTTCAGGCCGCGTAGAGGCTTCAGGCCGCGTAGAGGCTTCAGGCCGAGTAGAGGCTTCAGGCCGAGTAGAGGCATCAGGCTGCGTACAGGCATCAGTCTGAACCACGGAAGGCAGGCTCACCGGTTTGGATACTGGCAGGATGGTATTGGTTGGAAAGAATTTTCGCTTTTTTCTGGTTTTAACTACTGGAGCACTGCAAGTAAACGCAGGTCTGCAAACGAATGGAGCAGCTGGAGACAGAGAAGAACTGGAGGATGGAACAGGAGAGGGAGCAGTTTGCTACAGAGGGCTTTTTTACAGGGTTAAAGGCAGGATAGGTGCAGCGAGTGGGAACAGGGTACTGACATGCGGTAGATAGCCAAGTATACTGGGCTGTAACTGGAGGAGCTGGTGGGAATACAGGAGTAGAGTTAGAAGCAGGACTGGGTCTTTGTAAGCTGACTGAGGCTGGGTGCAACAAATCTGTCCATGTCTGCAGTAGGGGTTGAACAAAGCTGAGCTTACACAAAGTCTGTCTGGTCAATGACTGCACTGCGTTTATACAATCTCTCAGTGTCTGTGGTGAACATGTGGAATAACGCTCCAGAAAGTAACCCACATCATCCTCTAATAACCACACCAGGGACTCTACCTGGTCTGCACTAAATGGTGGCAAAAATTCATCCCTGCATTCGGGGGAACCAGATGAAACCAACTCTGCACAAACCTCAATCAATGGCTGCACCTCAGAGAACTCTGTGCCCTGATCTACTAGAACATGAGCGAGCCGTATACATTCTAGCAATTCATACCGGGTATACTCCTTCAGAGTTTGATAAGCATACTCCCTGTCATCAAACACTAGCAGATATAAATACTCAACCTCCTCAAGATCCATCCTTCCCATCAACAAGCCAAGATGGCTTCCCTGTGCAGCCACTTCTGGTCAGGATTGGCCTTGGTGTAATGTCAGGGCTCCCAGGTATGACCAGAAGTGTGTGACTGAAGCAGGGAAACGCAGACCTCAGCTATGTTATAAACAATATAATTTATTAACACTAACAATACAAACATAAACGCAGTGCAATACTAAAACATAATACGGTGCAAACAAACCAAACCAAACCACCCACAGATAACAGTATATTCAAGCAAGCGTCGTCAGGCAGGCCGGGTCAATATCAATTGGGCAGGTAGGTACAGGGGGAGCAAGCGGAGAATGGTCGGGGTCACAGGCCAGGTTCAGCAGGTAGCAAGCAGCATAGTACAGAGGGTCAGGCAGAGGGATGGTCCGGGTCACAAGCCAGGGATCAGAACAGGTAGCAAGCAGCGTAGTACAGAGGGTCAGACAGAGGGATGGTCAGTCACAAGCCAGGATCAGAGCAGGAGAAGTCAGCAAAGGAACAGAAACAGGATGCAGGACAGATACAGGGCCCAGGACAAACACAACACCAAGGCAGAGTCTGCAAGTCTGGCCATCCCTTAAATACACCAGTATCATCAGTTCCAGGTGTTAGCTGGCTGAGAGGTTGAGTCTCTGATTGCTGGGAGCACCCGCTGGCCAGCCCTGGTACTGCAGATCAAAAGGCAGGTGAGTCCCACCATTGCTGGCCAGTCCATTCCTAACAGGGGATCTTGGCCCACAAATGATTAATAGGTTTATTAGTAGCCTAAAAATGGGAAGGGGGAGGGGTAATAGGGTTAACATTCTGCAGGATTGAGGGAGGTACAAAAGCAAGGGAAAAGAGGAGGAAGGATGGAGGGGAAGTGGAGTGATATAAGAAGGATGGAAGAACTACAAGTTATCACTTATAATGTAAAGGGGTTGAATTGTCCTGGGAAGAGATTTAGGTTATTTAAAGAACTCACCATAGAGCATCTTCAGTGGTTTTTTTTGCAAGAGACACATTTTGAGATAGAATCTAAGGTTAAGTTAAAATCTAGATATCATCCAACATGGTATTATGCAGATTCCCCGATTAGGAGAGCAAAAGGGGTGGTAATAGGATTTGCAAAAAATATAAGGTTTCAGTTGGAGGATAGAAAAGTGGACCCAGAGGGGAGATATTTGTTTTTGAAGGGTAAAAACTGCAGGAGGTGGAGTGTACAGTAGCTAATATATATTGTCCAAACAAGAAGCCGGAGATATATTTGAAAGGTGTGCTAAAAAACTGATGGACTTTAAAAAGGGCTGTTTGATATTGGTGCAACCTCTTCTGTGCAGCGAGATGGGAGTAGGTCTCTGAGAATACTAAAGATGGAGATCCATGAGTTCCAATTGGTGGACACATGGAGAATTATGCATATGAAGGATAGAGACTATACATTCTTCTCAAATGCACATGAGATGTATTCGAGGTTGGACTACATATTGATAGAACATCGTTTTATTGAGTCAATGGTTGAAGTAGAAATAGGAGCAATGACTATTTTGGATCATGCCCTTGTTGTATTGAAGATGGGATGGGGAAGGGATAAAACAGGTGGTGTAGGATGGAGGTTGAATGAGGCACTTCTCCTGGATAAGGATACTGCCCAGAAGATTGGGAAAGAAATTGAGAGATTTTTTTAGAGAGAATGAGACAGAGGATGTGTTGATAACTACAGTGTGGGAGTCTCATAAGGCATATATAAGAGGTATCCTGATTGCGATTGGGGCAAAAAAGAAAAGAGAAAGGAGAGAGAAAATTAGTGGGCTCTTAGAGGATATATTTGACCTGGAACAGATACATAAAAATAGTATGACAAAAGAAATCAAGCAGAAGATAATAAAAAAGAAAGAAGAGCTAGAGACTTTAATGGAGGAGGAGAGAAGGAGAGTCTATAATAAAGTGCTAAGTGAAAGTTATAGATGGGGAGATAGATAGGCCAGGAAAATATCTAATGAGAGCCTTAAGGAAAAAGAAAAATAGGAATTATATCGAAAAAATAAAAAAATCCCCAAGGGAGAACTGGTTCACTCAAATAAGGAGATTGCAAAGGTGTTTATGGACTATTATAGAAAGTTGTATAACATCAATCCCTATGACTCAGTAAACAGTACGGAAAATGAAAACAGGGGGAAAAAAAAGGATGTATTTAAAAAATGCAGGTTTACCGAAATTAAAAGAAGCACAATTAAATAAAAGTAGCGTTAAAAAGCACAGAGATGGGGAAAAGTCCAGGACCAGATGGCTACACTGTGAGGTATTATAAAAAAATGTAGCGAATTACTAATTCCCAAGCTGGAGAAATATATGAATGCTCTGGGAGGAGAGATGGACATGAGGAGAGAATCTCTACAGGCTCATGTGGTGTTGTTACATAAGGAAGGAAAAGATGCTTCACAGTGTTCTAGCTAAAGGCCAATATCATTATTGAACTCAGACACCAAGCTATATGCAAAGGTCCTAGCATACAGATTGAAAAAAGCTTATGCCCGAATGCATACATGGGGACCAGGTGGGTTTTGTCCCAGGGAGGGAGGGCAGGGACTATGGGTTGAGATCCCTGATGCTTATTCAGAAAAGTAGAAAAGAGGAGGTACCGGCGGTGGTTCTTTCGATCAATGCTGAAAAGGCCTTTGATAGAGTAGACTGGGGCTTCATGATGGACACCTTAGAAGCCCTGGGAATTGGTGTTAGAATGAGGGAATGGATTTAAAAGTTGTATAGAGAGCCCTCCGCAGTTATTGTAGTAAATGGGGAAAGAACAGAGCCTATTGGGATGTCAAATGGAACAAGACAGGGCTGCCCACTGTCCCCTTTGTTGTATGTTATGTCATTGGAGCCCATGTTGTCCACAATAAGGAAGAATAGAGATATAAAGGGAATTCAGATAGAAGCTATAGAGCACAAAGTGGTGGCCTTTGCAGATGATTTGTTATTTTATGTGGGGAACCCCAGGATAACACTCCCAAACCTAATGAAGGCACTGAAGAAATATGGGGAATTATCAAATTTAACAATTAATCCAACAAAAACTGAGATCCTAAATATAAATATCCCAAAAAGTGAAAAAGAGAAAATACAAAAGGAATTCCCCTTCATCTGGAAAGAAAGAGATATAAAATATTTAGGAGTAAGAATAACTGCTGCATATAAGTATCTGTATAATCTAAACTATATTTCATTATTAAAAGAAGACAAGGAGGAATTAAAAATGTTAGAAAGAGGAATTCTATCATGGATAGGACGTATAAACCTGGTAAAAATGATAATTGTACCTAAAATCTTATATAGATTTCAAATGATCCCAATTAAACTCCCAGAAGCTTTTTTCAAGGAAATAAAAAGAATGATAGCAAGATTAATTTGGAGGAATAAAAAACCGAGAGTGTCTTATGAAATATTAAGTAGAGACAAAGAGAAGGGTGGTTTGGGAGTTCCAGATATTAAGAGATATTACAAAGCAGTAATATTAGGGAGAATTTGTGACTGGACGTTTAATTTAGAGGGGAAAAGTTGGGTAAAAATTGAAAATGCACTGAGTGGAACTAATTTGAATAGAATCATTTGGTTACCTGCACAATATAGAGAATTAAAAGAGGACTTACGCATATACACTTTAAATGTATTAAGGGAATGGGATAAAGTACACAAATATATTATTATTAAACAGTATTTATAAAGCGCCAATGGTTCGCTCAGCGCTGTACATTACAAAGGGGGACAGAACATGTGACAGAACAATACCAATACAATGCAAAACATGAGGGGATCGAGGGCCCTGCTCTTTTGAGCTTACAATCTAGGAGGGAGGGGATGGTGGCACAGGAGGAGATAGCTGTGGGGGATGGAGTGGTAGGAAGAGTGGAGGAGGTCAGCAGGTTAGCAGGGGGTGGGGTAGGCTTCCCTGAAAAGATGGGTTTTCAGGGTGCGCCTAAAGGAGAGGAGAGTAGGTGATAATCTGATGGGTTGGGGCAGGAAGTTCCAGAGGATGTGTGACACCCTGGAGAAGTCCTGGAGGCGGGCATGGGAGGAGGAGACCAGGGAACTAGAGAGAAGGAGGTCTTGTGAGGAGCGGAGTGCGCGTGCTGGGCAGTACTTGGATATTAGGTCAGTGATGTAGTTCGGGGGCAGTATGGTGGATGGCTTTGTACGTCCGTGTTAGGATTTTGAATTTGATCTGTTGCACAATCAGAAGCCAGTGGAAGGATTGGCAGAGGGGGGTGGCGGAGATGGAGCGGTTGGAAAGGTGAATGAGTCTGGCAGCCGTATTCAGGATTGACTGAAGCGGGGATAGCCAGCAGCGAGGCAGGCCAGTGAGGAGGGAGTTGCAGTAGTCGAGTCGTGATATGATGAGGGAGTGGATGAGCTGTTTAGTGGTTTCTGGGGTTAGGAACGTGCGTATTTTGGCGATGTTGCGGAGGTGGAGTCTGCACGAGTTTGTTAAAGATTGGACTTGGGGCTGGAAGGATAGGTTGGAGTCCAGAATGACACCAAGTACTCTGGCCTGCGGGGCGGGTTTGATGGTGGCATTGTTGGATGTGACGGAGAAGTCAATGGGGGGTGGTGTCCGGGCTGGGGGGAAGACAAGAAACTCGGTTTTGGAGAGGTTCAGTTTAAGGAAGTGGAGCAACATACAGTCTGATATGTCGCTCAGTAGGTGTGTGATTCGGGCGCGAAGACCGAGGGGGTGAGGTGGGGGGTTGAGAGATATGGTATGGTAACAACGCTTATGGTAAGTTTTTTGGTAAAGTGAACGATCTGGTGGCAGACAATAATTACAAGATGAAAAGTATACCCAACCAGTAGTTTCACAGATCAAAGATAGCTTTGTAGAGCTACCCTTTTTTTTAATATATAATTATTTTTTTTTAAATGGGCTTGAAATTCACACAAAATTAGATAACTTTAATTATTTGGTTGCAATTATTTGACTAAAATGTGCCTAATGGGTATTTTGTATATGCAGCCTCAAAGAGTGAAGGCTCAGAAGTCCATCAAGGGATCTTCAGCAAGATTTTGCACGCTAATAAAGGTAATTATTCTAAATCACAGGATTCTTTACAGCATTATGAGGCGCTAAATCAAGGCAAGGCAAAGGATAATAGATAATTATAATGAATACAGTTATGAAGTTAGGGATCCCTTAAATCATGTACTGATTGACTAGCCAAAAGTGTGAGAGGAGAAATACTGTGCTTTGGTCTTACGCTACAAACTCTTTATCATTGCTGAATGATTCTTTAAAATCAGTATTCCACAAAGACCGATGGTTTATTCCTATTCACTTCTATCATTGCAGTGACACTTGTGAGATAAAATAAGGCGATTGATTAAAGGCAAATACACTGTTCACTTTGCAAAGAAAATTGCACTTTACATGGGAATTTAAAAGTAAATCAGCATCAATATCTCTAGTAAAACTGTATATTCTTTCTTTTGCAATTTTTAGTTCTGAAGCTACAATTAAAGATGAACTCCAGATAAAAAAAAATCATAAATGAATGCAGCTCTGTATTCCTTACTACATCTTAATTGTACTTTGTTAAATGCAATTGATGTAAGTACTTAAATTGGACTTAGAATCAGCTTCTTGCAGTCCCTATACAGTAGAGCCAAGACTAGGTGTGGGCAGTGCCAACTTGCCTGGTGCACATGGAGCCTTTAGCTCTCTTTGCTGTGTTCAGGTGCCTCCTGGTCCCAGGATACAAACAGTACACATGCTCAGGATGCAACATTTTGAAGGGAAAACCAATGAGCTTGTGTTCCGTTCCACCAGTCCAGCTAGACTCCGCCACTCAACTGCCATGGACAAAGCTGGTCCCATTGGGAATTTGTGCGGACAACATGCATGCGTCTAATTACCTCTCCCATACTATACGACTATGTCCCTAGGGTCTCCATCACGTAGGTCCAGTCCCAGTTGCTGGGGGAGGTAGGCAATGAACCTTTTCCTCGCTATACATGAGACCCATCACCACTGCACAAGCTGTTAGCTGTGCTTTAGTGTATGCTTCTTTGTAATAAGAGGAGAGAGAAGAGTGACAGAGAGATGAGCTCATTAGACTCATAAGTGTTACTTAACTGAAGCAGAGCAAAATCGGATCTTCTCACCAGCCAAATAGGGCTGTACTATGTCACGGAACTGAGAAAAGCTGTTCTTGTGATAAAGGTCTAATCAATTCCAGCAGATGGACAAATCTCTCTCTATGCCTATTATATTCTGTTGCATACCCCAACATTGTATTGCACTGCATCTGATTGGGCGCAGCTGTTGTTGGTTCTAAACTTTTCTGTCTGGATACTTCGATTTTTCAATCAAAGGATGTCAGGTGGAAGAAGGCTGACAGAGCCACCCACATAGCAAACGTCAGTCAGTTCACAGTGTATGGAAAGCTTAAATTTAATACATTTTAATGTATTAACTGTAACCATTTTCGGTATTTTCAGATAGTAAAACACCCCTGTATGGAGGTGACATTCTGGTAAAGACTGACCGCAGCGCCATAAACTGTACTTCTTGCCTTTGGCCCAAAAGTAATACTGGCACTGTTCCTGTTCCCTACATCACATCATCCACATTCAGTGAGTTTCCTCCTCATTCTCTTGCTTTGAAACATTCATTGCTATTTGTTATTTGTAGAAACCCAACCTTCTATCTCTGTTTCCAGGTCCCAGTGCCCTGAATAGTATTGCACTCGCCATGACAGAGTTTGAGACATTGACTTGTGTGAGGTTTGTGCCTCATACAACAGAAAACGATTATCTCAACATTTCACCTGAAGTTGGGTAAGCATGTCTTGTCTAACTATTGTCCAATATATTTGTCTACACAAAATAAAACATACGGGATCATTTAATCTTTTACCATCTTAGACTTTAACGCACCTATCTGTGCATGACTGCTCTTATTTCCTCTAAAAACACTATAGAACTCCTCTGTACCTTTGCAAATATATAGGAAAGACATAGGCCAACAAGGTATTCTTGGTGGTCTCCTTTTTCTTTGTTGCAGAAACAGCACAGGGGCATAGGATTTGTATCCCAGCACTGCATACATTGAGTGGTTAATAGAATAATGGTAGTGACTGAGGGGTAGTAGGGCTGAGTGTCAACAGACTCAAAGGGTTCCACTTAAAAAAATCCATATTTACAATCAAAATAAAACCAAATATATCTGTCCAAAAGTGAGCAGTGGATCCAATGCTTGGGACCAGCAAAATGTTACTTATCTCCCAAACACCATACTCCTTACTAGAGCTGGGCTCATGCATAGGGATACACCTTCAGTTATGAATTAGAAAGTTCAAAGGCTTAGTACAAACTGATACTGATTGCTTTCTTTCTGTAGCTCAGATTTAATCATTGTTTCTAACAATCCAATTGTCTTTGGCTCTTAAATGATATTAAAGTGCAACTCTTTTGAACTGTATATTTACTATTTTTAGCTGTTACTCATATATTGGAAGAATTGGTGGCAGGCAGACAGTATCATTGGGTGGTGGCTGCGTCTATATGGGGATTATACAACATGAACTAGAACATGCCCTGGGCTTCTACCATGAGCACACCAGAAGTGATCGTGACAATTATATTGACATCAATTTCCAGTATATCTCTGAAGGTAATGGGGACATTTACACAAAGAGAATTTAGCCATGTTTTCTAAAAAGTGACATTACCACTGCTTCTGTCTTGTTACAGGATACCAGGGTGATTTTGCTAAAGTGGACACTAATAACCTGGGCAGTCCATATGACTACGGTTCAGTGATGCATTATGATGCGTAAGTCATGACTTTTGTGTTAGCTGGCAAATTACCAACAAATGAGAACATATTTTAATGGTAATATGTCGATCTTATCTCCATTCAACATTTTCCAGCTATGCATTTTCTAACACCTCAAACAAACCCACAATTGTCCCCAAGCCTGACCCCAATGTGCCTATTGGGCAGACAATTGGACTGAGCGTCTTGGATGTCCTTAAAATTAACCTACTTTATCAATGCAGTAAGTTACTGTACATTCCAATTTTATGACTTTTAAATATTAGAAAGGATGCTTTTTTACAATTTAATTTTCAGTGAATTTTTACATATTTGAACAAAAGCAAAATGTGCATTTTTTTTTTCTGAGCCCAACTACGGATGCACACAATACAGTTGCAAGAAAAAGTATGTGAACCCCTTGGGATTACGTGAATTTTTACATGAATTGGGCATAAAATGTGCTCTGAACGTCATCTAAGTCACAATAGAAGAACACAGTCTGCTGAACATAATACTACACAAACATTAGATGTTGCCATGGTTTAATTGCACATAACATGTAAACATTCACAGTGCAGGGAGGAAAAAGTATGTGAGGCCCTAGCTTAATGACTTCTCCCAGAGCTAATTGGAGCCAGGAGTGAGCCAACCTTGACTCCAATCAGTGTGATGATATTGGATGTGTTGCTGACAGCTGTCCTGCCCTTAAAAAACACACACCTGTTTTGGGTTTACTGATTTCAAGAAGCACTGTCTGATGTGAACCATGCCTCGCAGAAAAGAGCTCTCAGAAGACCTACGATCAAGAATTGTTGACTTGCATGAAGCTGGAAAGGGATACAAAAGTATCTCCAAAAGCCTTGATGTTCATGTGTCCACGGTAAGACAGTCTACAAATGGAGAAAGTTTAGCACTGTTGCTACTCTCCCTAGGCGTGGTCGTCCTGTAAAAATGACTGCAAGAGCACAGCGCAGAATGCTGCATGAGGTAAAGAAGAATCCCAGAGTGCCAGCTAAAGACCTACAGAAATCTCTGGCACATGCTAACATTTTTGTTGACACATCTACAATAAGGAAAACATTAAACAAGAATGGAGTACATGGGAGGACATCACGGAGGAAGCCATTGCTGTCCAAAAAGAATATTGCAGCACGTTTGAAGTTTGCAAAAGAGCACCTGGATGTTCCACAGCACTACTGGCCAAATATACTGTGGACAGATGAAACCAAGATTGAGTTGTTTGGGAAGAACACACAACACTATGTGTGGAGAAAAAAAGACACAGCACACCAACATCAAAACCTCATCCCCACTGTAAAACATGGCGGAGGCAGCATCATGGTGTGGGGCTGCTTTGCTGCCTCAGGGCCTGGACGGATTGTTGTCATTGATGGGAAAATGAATTCCAGAGTTTATCAAGACATTTTGCAGGAAAACGTACGACCATCTGTCCTCCAACTGAAGCTCCGCAGAGGATGGGTGATGCAACAGGACAATGACCCAAAGCATACAAGTAATTCAACAAAACAATGGCTGCAACAGCACAGAATACGCCTTCTGGAGTGGCCCAGTCAGAGTCCTGACCTCAACCCGATTGAAATGCGAGAGTGATTCAAACTGGACATCCCAAGAATATTGCTACACTGAAACAGTTTTGTGAAGAGGAGTGGTCCAAAATCACTCCAGATCATTGTGCAGGTCTGATCTGCAACTACAGGAAACATTTGGTTGAGGTTATTGCTGCCAAAGGAGGGTCAACCAGTTATTAAGTCCAAAGGTTCATATACTTTTTCCTCCCTGCAATGTGAATGTTTACATGTTATGTGCAATTAAACCATGGCAACATCTAATGTTTGTGTAGTATTATGTTCAGCAGACTGCGTTCTTCTATTGTTGTGACTTAGATGACGTTCAGAGCACATTTTATGCCCAATTCATGCAAAACTCCATGGAATCCCAAGGGGTTCTCATACTTTTTTCTTGCAACTGTAAATAATGTATACATATGTGGTATCCCAATGCATTTCAAATTCATTTTGGATTATGTATTGGTGGTGGGTCATGGTAGTGACAAGAAAGATACAGCTAAATTTTTAAAATAATTATGGCTTACAATGTGGCCAGTTTTTTTTGAAAAACAGGTTCCCACTAAGGTTTACCACCAAATGAAGACTCAATTTGGCCTGAACAAAAAAAAGGTATAATTCACTTGGATACACAAAGTAGTTGCAAAAATAGTTTTACTAACACATGCTAAAATTGCAAAACTGTATTTGGGCATTAAGGATTGCTTTTATCTTCACCATAAAGGGGTTAAGCTCAAGGTTCATTTGATTATAAATTCAATATTCCAACCGTTTTAATCTAATAGAAGGTAAATACCCCTCCCCCATTTCCCACAAATCCCTTATTAATATGATTATTAGTCTATTCCTCCAGTAACTAAATACAATGTATATGCCTATTTCTTACTTCTCAGGTGTCTGCGCTACTTTGCTTAATAATAACACAGGAATTTTCACATCTGCCAACTATCCCCTTGCTTATCCTGATAATGTTAACTGCGTTTGGTTGATCAGGGCCACATCAGGGCAGGTAAGGAAACAGGAATGAAGACATGCAAAATGTTGACCTTAAATGTCTAGCAACCTAGCTGTGAAAATTAACTGCCATCTGAAGATTGTTTTGTAGACAACCAGATTTTTACATTTATAAAAACAAATGAAACTTGACTACTGTAGAGCCAAGGATTTGGTCCAAATACTCCCCACCTTGCTATTACTCTTTTTACATTGAAATATATATCAGACCACAGCACTTTGTTTTGTCATATTTTTCCACGGTGAAAGACTTTTAGAGATGGATTGAAAAAGAGGAGCCATAGTGGTGGTTTGACGTTATGGCTGAGACAAAGGTATGGTGTAGGCCCTGTAAGATGTAAATGCCTCTGATCTCATACTCTGCTTCATCCACCATCTTCTCCATATGTTGGAATAATACTTCCCTTCATTATTGCCCACTTTATAGTCTTCAGACTATCATGACCACTTCATGGCTGGGAGCCTATGCTGGCAACTCTGATGTGCTAAATTTCTTTTACCCCATACATGGTAGTGAGGAGATTGTTTGAATGGGGGTTTTACCAGGAACAAATTGGGTCTTGGATTAATTTGATTTTACAAGTATGTTACCAATAGTAATGGTATTGCAATATCCAAAGATACAGTGTTAAATCAAAGGTTTCTTTGACTTTGTTCAATATAGCAATAAACTAAAGACTTCTGTTAAAAGTTTAATAAAGTTTTTTTAAGATTATTTGTCTCATTGAAGAAACTACAAGTAATGAATCAATTGGAAGCAGAAGAGTTCTGTGAACTGGAAAATCAATGGAAAATATTCACGTTTCAAGAGACATCTTAGTTAGAAATATCTATAGCCTGTGAGATTGTTTAACAGAAATTAGAATCCTACATATTCTTATGTTTTGTTTTGTTTTGTTTTTCTGAAGGACTGTTCAAGCATTTCCACGATTACATTATATTGCAACTACATAATAACCCAGTTTGTATTGACAAATATGTGAAGCCTATGGTTTACTGTAGATAATACATTTTCTTTGTGTCACTTTTTAGGCTTCACTAAATTTCAGTAGCTTTAATATCCAGTCCACTCCTAACTGCGAATCTGACTACATGAGGATCTATGATGGTCCCTCTAAGTACTCCCCTGTGTTGCTGGATAAAATGTGCGGCAGTAAAACCGTCCCTCGACTCATCGCTTCCACAAGCCATATGCTGGTTGAGTTTGTCAGTGACGGGGCTGTTGGTGGGGTCGGCTTCCAAGCTACATATAGCTCAGGTATGCTGATTTATTTTAATGGTAAAGAAAGTGTTCAGATAAAAATATTGAAGAATCATAGATGCAGAGCCGAGGAGGGACTATTGACACAACAGTCTGATGTCCTCTCACTTCTGTTTGCAACCATTGTGATTGAAGCAAAAGGTGGTTCTACAAAGTATTCAGCCTCCGGGGGGCTGAATACAAATGCACACCACACTTTTAAGACATTTATTTGTAAAACATTTTTTAAACCATTTATCATTTTCCTTCCACTTCACAAGTATGTGCCACTTTGTGTTGGTCTATCACATAAAATCCCAATAAAATACATTTATGTTTTTGGTTGTAACATGACAAAATGTGGAAACTTTCAAGGGGTATGAATACTTTTTCAAGGCACTGTACATAAACATAAAATGAGGCCATATACAGTACTATTATAGATCTCCTTACTGTATTTACTATATCTATATTCTCACAGTTCAGTGTGGAGGAACCTTCTTTAACTCTCAAGGCAGCTTTACATCTCCAGGTTACCCAGGGAACTACAGTCCATACATGAACTGTAACTACACCATCACAGCTCCTGTTGGATATAAGGTAAAACAAGATAACTTAATAATTCTCCCTAATTACTGGGCATCATCATTTTCTAAAAGTGTCACACAAACAAAACTTTAATGTTGGACAGACACATCACAGTCTGAATGTACAAACCCATTTAAATTCACCAGCATTCACCAGGGCCTACCTGAATGAATGCAAACAGAATGTGTTGTTTACAGCAGGATTTCTCAATCATTTCAACACAGAGAAACCCTTGAAATAACTTTCCAGTCTCAGGGAACCCCTACTAAAAATGACTATATCTACAACTCATAACGTATTAGTTTGATGGTCAATGGGAAGAATGCTCCTCACACTTGTGGTCATTGGAAAGAGTTACCCCCTTACAGGTAGATAAAAAGATCAGTGGTGTCAGAAGGAACTTATCTGCTCATTGCTCAAGGAACCCCTAGCAACCTCTGGAGGAACCCTGGTTGAGAAACCCTTGTTTAGAGCATTACACTACATGGCTGTTGGCAAATCTAAAGTAGATTGCTCTTAGACTATTTACAATCAAGACTTTTTGGATCGTTTCCCAGTGATGGTAGGAAGTGTTGGTGGTAATTTGTGAAAGTGGCTGACAACTGGTGGGGTGATGTTTGTAAGATGTTTATCAGGCTTTACATGACTTTGCAGCCCTGGGCTAATTCCTGCCATCCTGATTGAGAGTAACAGGACCACATGGGATAGGAAGGGAGGGTGCTGATCAGTTTCTTGAGTATTGTAGACAGTTGAATGATATAGAAAGTAGTTTGACAGATGCAGATTGATGACCACTACACTGTGGAGTATAAAAAAGAACTTCCGTTTTCCAACAAGATTCCTTAATTCCAAATTATATTTACAGTATCATCCTTAATGTCAAATAATATGTTAAGTAAACTTTAATATCAAGGAATTGTAAGCAACAATAAACTCACTTTAATGCAAAAACAAATGATGTGCTTGTTTATTGCATGAACACATCACTTTCATATTAGTCATAATTTCATTTCTTTTTCAGATTGCTCTGACCATCAGTGATTTCCATCTAGAGTATGTCATATCCTGTACATATGACTATCTAAAAGTCTTCATGGATGGTCGACAAAAGGGTCCATATTGTGGTGATATCAGCGTCCCTGTGTTGTACTCCAAAGGCAATTCTATGGTTCTCGTATTCCACAGTGACGAATCTGTCCAGGCGAAGGGCTTCCAGGCCTCTTACACCTTCTGTGAGTAGCTCCCTTCTATCTGCTTATTTCTAATATCAACAATGGAAGTTACAGGAAAATAGAAGTCTCATTTGGTTAGAAAGTACATTTATCTTGAATTATATTGCCTTCAGGGTTTTACACACATATACCTACATATGAAAGGAAGGCTTACTGCCAATAATTACATTAGTATGTGCTGCAATTTCAGAAATCTTGTATGTTTTAATAGTTTCATGTTATGTGTACATAAGGGGCAGCCATGTTTTTTCATCACAAATATAGGTTGTATTTCCAGCTTTCTTATGCTACACAGTCATTGTGCTTCACTGCTCCTCTCTGACGCTGCAGGTCTATGGTCAGACCTGACTACATGAACACAACTGACTGTTTATAAGGTTACCTGTACTTATTTATTACAGGTACTTATACAGAACTGTAAATTTACATAGCACTTTACACATATATTGTACAATCACATCAGTCCCTAACCCCCAAGTAGCTTAGAATCCAAGATCCCTAACTTACATTCATGGACTTGGGCCAATTAATCTACCAGCGTGTCTTTGGAATGTGGGAGGAAACCAGACAAAATTCACACAGGCACAGGGAGAACATGCAAACTCCATGCAGGTAGTGTCATGGTTGGGATTCAAACCAACAACCCTAGTGATGCTAGGTGGAAGTGCTAACCACTTAGCCACCATGATGCCCAATCTAATAGTTATTAACTACCTGCCGACCGCAGATAGCCGAATGATGGCTGCACTGCGGCCGGCCAGTTCTGAGTGGACGTCATATGACGTCCTCCCAGAACGCGCTCTCCTGCGCGCCCCAGGGGGCGCGCCCCCGGCAATCTCCGTGATCGCTGTGTCCTACGGACACAGCTGATCACGTGATGTGGTAAAAGGCCAATCACAGCGGCCTTTTACCACGTGATCAGCGGTGTCCAATGACACGCTGATCACAGGGAAATGCAAGTGCCGGTTCTCGGCTGCACTTTCCTCACGCTGTCAGATCGTGAGGAAAGTACTGCCGAGAACCGGCAGTTGTCACAGGGGGGATCAGCACCGATCATCAGGGCACTGATGATCAGTGCCCTGATGATCGGTGCCCAGCAGTGACACCCGCAAGTTCCGCCCAGCAGTGTGCCCACTAGCTCCGCCCACCCGTGCCCAGCAGTGCACCCAGCAGTGCCCCCACCTGTGCCCAGCAGTGCACCCACCTGTGCCACTCTGCAGTGCCACCTACCTGTGCCCAGAAGTGCCACCTACATGTGCCCAACAGTGCCACCCACCTGTGCCCACCCACCTGTGCCCACCAGTGCCACCCACCTGTGCCCACCAGTGCCACCCACCAGTGCTGCCCACCAGTGCCACCCACCAGTGCAGCCCAGCAGTGCTGCCAGTCAGTGCCAGCAGTCAGTGCCCAGGGGTTGTGCCAGTCAGTGCCCAGCAGTGATGCCAGTCAGTGCCGTCTATCAGTACCCATCATCAGTGTCACCTATCAGTGCCGCCTATCAGTGCTGCATATCAGTGCCGCCTATCCGTGACCCCTAATTAGTGCTGTCTATCAGTGCCGCCTATCCGTGCCACCTCATTAGTACTGCCTATCAGTGCCCTTTAGTGCTGCCTATCAGTGCCCATCAGTGCCGCCTATCAGTGCCCATCAGTGCTGCCTCATCAACGCACATCAGTGAAGGAGAAAAAATACCTGTTTGAAAAATTTTATAAAAGAAACAAATAAACTTTTTTTTTTTTTTCAAATTTTTTGCACTTTTTTTATTTATAGTGCAAAAAGTAAAGCGCCCAGTGGTGGTTAAATACCACCAAAAGAAAGCTCTATTTGTGAGAAAAAAAAATGATTAAAATTTCATATGGGTACAATGTTGCATGACCGCGCAATTGTCAATCAAAGTGCGGCAGCGCTGAAAGCTGAAAATTGGCCTGGTAAGGAAGGGGGTATAAGTGCCTGGTAGGCAAGTGGTTAATTAAGCTCAGGAGCAAACAATAATTAAAAAAAAAAACACTTTTTTATTTCTTTCAGCCAGATTAATGAAAAAAACATATTGCATAAAAAATGAAAAACTGCCATGGTATAAATAGATTTTAATAGCAATATCTCAGGTTACACACACAGCTGAATGATCTTCAGTTTCAATAAACAAGTGCAGAACTGGTGCTAGGCTTTTCTATTAGATGACCCAGCAAACACTGCACACACTGAAAATAAGAAAAAGCACACAGTATATTAAATATTTAATTGTAAAATAAACGTTTTAATATATTAACAACAACAACTAACAACATAAAATAACTGACATACAATTGACCAACACCCGCTCTAGTCGACCTTTAACCTCCCTGGCGGTATTCCCGAGTGTAGCTCTGGGTAAAGTTTCAGTACCACAAGTAGTAACCCCGAGCTACACTCGGGCTTACCATGCGGTGCTGCTCTGCGATCCCTCGGTCACTTACCTTGTCCTGCGCTCCCGCGATGTCCCTCCTGCAGTGTACCCTGTAATGTCCTCCGGCCGATGCTGGCATCTGTCATCTGGGTTCCGTCCCCTGCGAGTGTCGGGACGTACGGGGACGGAACGGCGGAAAATTTGAAAATGACAAAAAGTGACATTCACTAAATACACTAAAATCACATAGTAAAACATTCCTGTATCAAACCATTTCACATACATTTTGTCCCGAGTGCTTTGTCCTGTGCCCTGCCTGCATTTTTACTGTTCTTATTACCTGGAAACTGAGAAACGTCCATGGCGTCCAAAAAGCGTCCCTTTAGGTCAAAAGCGGTTTTAGACCGGCTAGAGAACAGCGATAGTAAACCAGAACCACTTGCAGAATTGAGTGATAATGATTCGTGGGGAAATTCGTCATCAGACACTGAAAACGATTTTGCAACTTTGCTCAGTGATGTGTGAACTTGGCGCTATATTTGAAACTTCAGTGTTTTTAGTTTGATTATATTATTGAATTAAATGTATTATTATTATTATTTTTTTATGATTATTTAATAAATTATAATTTATGATTTCGTGTTTCAAATTTTAACATACCCGGGATGTTTACTAGACTCTTGTTCGGACAGATTTCAGTGAGTTATTCCTAAATATTACAGGGCTACAGTAAAAAAAAATACATATTTTCATGCAAAAAAATGTACCGCTTTGAGCACAGAAATATGGACATAATCAGACCGCTAGGGAGGTTAAGCAGAGATGATTTTTACATTACAATTCTTTAGTGAAATTGAAATCTGTTAATGTAATACATATCAAAATAAAGACCAAAAAGCAAGATAATAATCATACTTATACCGTTTACTATTCTTAGCGAATAAATATAACAGAGAATGTATGGACAGATACTTGTTGCGTATGCACCAGGGGCGGACTGACCATTTGGAAACTCGGGCACTGCCCGAGGACCCGGGTCAGCAGGGGGCCCTATGAGATGCCCCTGGTACCTTTTTCATAGGCTTTTTTGAGTTTGGGCAAGGACACAGGGGCCCCATGATCCCCTATTGCCCAGGGGCCCCATGAGTTGTCAGTCCACCCCTGGTATGCACCATTACTACTGGATATAGAAATCCATGTGAATGTATTTCTGTTTTTTTTCTTTTTAAATAATACATTTTTATTGAGAATTGGCGCTATATCAACATCCATTACCAAATTTACATGATATCCACTAGGCATTAGAAGCCAAATAATAAATATACCTGTCCTACAACTCCTAGTAGGCACATATTTATAGAACTGTGCGATGACGGGATGTTAGCAAACAGGTTCTCAAAAATTAACATAATCAACAAAGAAAAAAAACAAGCAAACAAAAAAATAAAAGGTGTCCAAGAAGTGATGTCAACCCACCATCACCTCTATGGTGACATGGCTATTGTCTACTGTATCTTTAATTCCGACAGACTAGGTTAGCTAAGCATGACTTCAAATATGAAAATACCAGACCTTATTATCTCATGAAAAGCAGTAGTCTTGGAGATATGGAAAATTTGACCCAGGAGGACCATATTTCCCTAAACTTGGCATATTTGTCATTTGTTATAGCTATTAACTGTGCCATACGCATAATGTGGTTTACTTCCTCCACCCATTCCCTTATTGTAGGTATTTTCGAGGATTTCCAATGCCTGGGGATTTGTTTTTTTTAATAGATCAATGAGAAAGCATATAACAAAAAGTCCTAGGTATTATTTAAATATGGATTTAATATTTGCTGACATTGACCTTTCTTTGATTACAGTTGTATAGAAGAGCAACAGATGACACAAAGAGAAAATCTACCGGTTCTGGAAGTAAGCTGACGTCACTACAGGATGGCACTCATTCACACATGTGTACATACAGTACATATATAACGACTAAATCTACATCGGATCATGTTAGTGTTTGCAATCACTTTTAAAAATACAAAATAGCAAGTTGTAATTTTTTTTCCAATTGATATCTACCGTTTGGTATTTTGATTGGTAAAGAATATGGGAGCTAATTTTGGCATCTTATGGTTTCAGTCTGATTTACATTCATCCTATAGTGATAACTCTTATAACTATCTCTTTACTGTATGTTTCCCGTTCGCATTTATTATTTTGAGGGAGTGGTCGGCCATTTCTTTTGTGCTTTATATGATAGTCCTATCTGAATTTTCCTTGTTAGAAATAAAATATATTAAAGCATTAATCCATCTGTGTTATTATTTATGATTTATATAGTCCCTGTTTCCTCGAGATGCATCGTCGCTTAAAGTGGACATTGCAGTAAATTGCAAAGTCCATTTAGTATATTAGTTTGCACCCTTTCCTTTGTGAAATGCACTTCCTGCTAGTAGTTCAAACATGGACCTGTAGAAAAATAAGGTAGATTATTATTTATTTTACCTAGGGGAGGGTGACATCACATTCCTTCTAGCAAGATCCTGGAGAATGCAAAGCAGACAAAATCCTGCAAGAAGATATTCCTGCACTGGAATGGAGTAAGTTGCAATTGGTTTTCTTGCAA